CATTGAAGCGCGGTGCTAACATTTCGAACCCAGAGCGCCAACTAGCAGACCAAAACCCCACCAGCCAAGTCACCCACTCCCCCACCGTCCACTCCGGCCTCGCTCCTGCCTCGACTCATGAAAACACAGACCAAAGCATCGAGGGCGGCCAGCCGCCTGCATCGGCGGAGTAGGAATTCTCGCTAGACTGTGTTTCAAGGGCGTTTGGTTCTGGCGCCTCATCATACGACATTGACGAAGCGTGCTGGCGCAGGAAAAAATGATTATACTGCATGGTTGAATGGCGTTTAGGATAATCCTCCAGTACGAGAAGGACAAGTTTCCCTCCAGCACGTTCGCTGGATGTAGTCAAGATACCTGTTATCCCGACTCGTTTCTTCATTTGCACGCATGAAACCGCAATTCTCCACTTCCTTCTCAGCTTAGTCTCCAGATCTACCCTCAATCTTCTCTCACAATTTGAGTGCACGAAACCCACCATGCCAACATGATTATTTCCATACCATCCCAGTGTTCTCACCAACAAACCCTCGTACGAACCCCCCTCCACCCAACTTTACCACACCCATCCCAGCACCAAGGTCAACCCAGCACCCAACCCCCGAACCGAATGCAACAACCGTTCATCCCGTCCCTTCCCCACCTCGGCGTAAGCGAACATACCGTAATCACCCACGTGTAGAGTTTTCCGTTTTTCGCGGGACATGAATCGACCTTGTTTGATGTACATTAAGCGTTTACCTTTACGCCCGCGCATAATTTATCGATAGCGAGGAAAAAATAGTAAACTTGATAGTTATGACAAGGGACCCCACTTCGGATTGATTGGATGCGTACCCCGCGTTGTGTACGTGGCTTTGTTTGGTGGTTGGTGACTGTGCTTGGGTAGAGTCTTGCTTGGTGGTGACGGGACAGTGCTTAAGCAGAGTTTTCTGGTTCGTTGGTTGACAATTGTTAGAAAGTTATCGGGGCAATAAAGTGTAACAGGTTGAAAAGGTGGCGGAGTAGGTATTTAGCATGGTGTTACCCGGTATACGTCCTGTGGGTGTCAGGTACACAAGTTGAAAATATGTCGAGTGATGGAATTGGAGTATGTAGCAAGAAAAGAGTCGCTACACTAAACATGTACAGGCACAAACACCCTGGTATCCGCCAGACACCCCATGCCCTATAATCCGTCTCCAAATCTCTGCTGCGTGCATAGATGTGGGTGGATGTGAATCGTTCTCTTAAACGCCTATTGCGCCGTCCAGCTAACCCATGCAAAGTGTCAAACCGCTGTCAGTCCGATGAGTACGCGTTCTCTACCTCTTCTTCAGAGCACGTGTAATCCTCTTCATCAGAATACGTGCAATCCTCTTCTAAGAAGAATTTCTACTCCTCCTCTACCTCCTCCACCGTTGCGCGCGGCGCCCGTTGTGTGACGGCACCCTCTGGTGCGGCTTCTGAACCGGTGGGCTGTGGCGCGGAGTTGACAGGCTCAGAGGCGGGTGCAGCAACGGGCGCTGGTGCAGCTTGAGCGGGGGCAGCATCGATGGCACCCTTCTTGGGTTTTCCCCCGGCGGCCTTTGCAGCGAGTTTGGCAGCCTTCCTCTCCTTCTTCGCAGCCTTCTTCGCCTTGATGTCTTCGGGAGTCTGAAAATGTTAGCTTTCGGTCTACACGCTTCAGCAAAGGAAACATACCTCTTGCCATGCGTAGACAGGCCGGAACGAGTCGAAGAAACCAACATCCTCAAACAGATTAGGGTAGAGCCAGAAGCCAGGTGGTATCGTGAAGACGGTGATGATGAAGATAATGAGCCGAACAATCGCCATGGCGAAGAACAACCCGATAAGACCAAGCATGCCCATACTCAAGTACCACACGCCCTGTCGCAAGAAAAGTGGCCATAGAGGGAAGAGCACTATCGTAATGACGAGAAGTAGTGCGCCAACAGCGTACAGCTTCTGCTTCCATTGCGACCCCTCGTACAGCCAGATGTAGTAGTTGTCGTCGTTCGCGTCTTGGTGCTGCTCAATCTTGACTGTCCACAGACCCTTGACGCGCTTGGGCTTGGCATGGTTGTGGCCATCGTGCGCATGGTCGTCGACCTTGGTGACTCGTAGGGCGAGGAGAGAGAGCGGTAGCAGCTTGAAGCAGTTCTCGGCGGAGGCACGGTCGATGACTTCGGGGAGGAGAGGGTTCTTTGCTCGGGCTTTTTGATATGCGGGGGACTGCAAGGCACGGATTGCTCGCTTGACTGTTGGGTGTGAGTATGACGTGTAGGACTGAGGTGTATGCAATGCTTACCTTTGAACATGTCCTTCCTTTTCTCGTCATGTACGACTGTCCTAGGCTTCAAGTCCTGCGACTTCAGCCAGTTGGCGACAGCAATGGCTTCTGGCTTGGGAGGACCGGGCTGGATGGGCTGTTGTTGCTGCTGCTGAGCACGCTGTTGCGCCTGCATTTGCGCCTGTTGCTGGGCCATGGCTTGCTGGCGCAATCTTCCGACGTATTCTTGAACCGTGATACCGTGTTTCGCTGCCTCGGCCTCTAGTTGCATTTTGATCTGTTGTATTTGCTCTGGCGTAGGCTTTTCGCCATTGGGTCCGAGGGGAATGGGAATAGAAAACGAGCCTGGTGGTGGCCCGCCTTGAGGGGGACCCTGCTGTGGTGGGGGACCTTGCTCTTCCATGGTGAAAGGGAGACTCGTGACGTTCGGTGAGGTGAGTGCAGCGGTGCCTGTGCGGGAATCCTTTGGTGTGGAGGGCGTCCGGAGGGATATAGGCTCAGTGTCTGACCACCGTGGAACATTCGTAATGATGCCACATTGCGAATGGTAGGGCCGAGCGCGGCATGACTAAGCCACCCCCGACACAATAAAATCTCTGCGAGTTGCAACTCCAGTTCTCGACATCGCAAACACCAACTTTTACCACAGTTCTTTCTCGTCGCATTCACGGCTGCACGCACTGGTCTGCACTCTACTGTTTGTTACTCTCAGCCATCATCGCTATTGCATCCGCATGCAAACTTGCCAATGAGCAGTGGCTGGGCGCACAGTATACAGTCAGGGACCCATCGAACTACATTTCATACTAACCACCGCTCTTTCCTGAGTACCTGCATCTACTCTACGCCTTTGGCGATGAGGCGCACGTCTGGCCATTGCTGCAAGGCGTTGATGCTCGCCTGGAACAGCGCCGCTTCGTGTCGCCTGGGCGCATGCGGTGCTTCCACGTACAGTCCCGACAAGCAAACTTGGATATCAGAATCAAGCCAGCTCACTACGTCGCTGCCTGGATATGCTCCGAACCATGTATGCTGGCATGGTTCCGGCGGCGACACTATGCTCGTGATGTTCACTTCACCAACACTCTGGCCCTTACTTCCCTTACTGTATAGGCCTATTTTGGTGTGAAGAAGAGGAAAGACCCATTACTCACCGCGTTGTCTTGCCTTTTGGTTTGGCTCCAGTGGTCCTTTTTCGAGGTCAACATACATGCACATTGAGTTCCTGCTCATGGTCATGTGCTGTCGAATACACAGCTTCCGCTCCGTCCGGTGCCGCATTCTTGGTACGCTATGCGGATCGACATGCGCCTGGCACATGAAACATGGCATCAGTGATGAGTTACTATAATCGTGGTTCGACATGTGAAGACAGATATGCAGCCGTCTCAGTCAGACAAGCAGCTGCAGCCGTATATGCGGCGGTAGTCTCGCCTAAATACAAAGGGCGTTTCGGGCGCCCCAATACTACATCATCAGAGCTCGAGCAAAAGGGCCGGCCTGACTAGGTGACAAAGAACGGGCACGGCGGGCTGTTGGACGCTGGATGCATGGTGGTGGCCCAGTGGATATTGCGGCACCTGCATTGATGGACGCGCTGGTGGATTAGAAGGCTGATTGGCGCTGGAGATCGCCGTGAACGTTGGATGGGACTAGGGCCCTGGTAAGCCGCCAGAGACGGCGGCTTGATGGCTCTGCAGCCCGCCCAGGTGGAGTTGGCGACGCGCGATGCGGAGAGCATCAGGACCGACTTTTCTTTTCATCGAGTCGGTGTAGCAGCGAGCGGCCTTCAGTCTTTCAGGCTTCACGTGTATTGACATCCGGCGCCTGACACGTCTTGCGTAGAGCGCGATCATCGATCATCGATCATCACCGGAAACCCCCAGACGGCCTGTCGTGTTGCAGCAGGGATCGCTCCAAGCCACCACTCGAACGACTGAGTGCATACGGAAGTGGATAGGCCTGCCGCTGCTTGGTCTCCGCCGCACCACACCTCGTCATCTCTCGCGCCCGCCTATCCGCCGACAGTGAGAAAAAGCAGGCATCGCCGCACCTGCTGAGCGCTGACATTCTCGCCCTCCGACTCGGGCGCTGGACCGCTGCAGACACGCAGCCAGGCAGAGACGACGTGACGGACCGCTGCTGCGCCCCAGGTCGCCGCCCGTACCACGCTTATCCTGTGCCCCAAGCCCGCTGCTGTGCGCCCTCCGCGCAGACGACTCCCGTTCCGCGACACGACGCCCGACCGCGTCCCACGAACGCGCAAACTATCCGCCCGCGAGTGCGCAGCCAGACCGGCGGCTCTGGTGCATGCGAGTGGGTACATTCCAGACAGACACGTCTAGGGACCCGCCCTTACATACCTACACCACCGGCCACCGCTCCTGCCGCATATCCTCATCCATCGCGCGCTGACGCCTGGGGCCACCGCCACACTCCGCTCCCATCCAACCCCGCGACACACCCGTCATTACCGGCGCCGTAAATAGACGCCTACCTGCTGCCGACAGCATCTGCGACCACCTGTTCTCCCGCTACTGCCGGGGTCTCTGCTGGTGACGTGCCAGTACGGGGACGCCCGGTGCTGAGGAATCCGAGCCACGCCCCAAAGACATGTCAGTCGTAGCAGACAGGCGACGATTTCGCGAAGGCATCGGCACCAGTCGCTCCTGGTGAGGCTGTGTCGACCCTCTGAATACCACTCCCACGACTTGTCTGATATCTCACCATGACTATGGTTCGGCAGTACCCCCCGCAGCCGCCGTCGCAGCTTCCCTCCTCCGTGGCCTACAACAACATCGCTCCTGCCCCCGCCCACGCCCCGTTCCTGCGCAATGCCGCCAACCTCGAGGGACACAGTCTCGCCCAGCAAGCGCGGCCGCAGCAGTACGCCCACCCGCTCTCCAGACACAACTCGTACGGCTCCCAGCCCTCCGAGTCTGGCCGGACACCCAAACCCGCAGAACACATGCTCCGCCGCAAGACGCCCAACGGAATTCTGGCAGCTGCGTATGACGGCACATCCGTCGAAAAGAACGGGGAGCCGCATGCAACCAAACACATCCTCCTTCCCGTGACAGCTGAATCAAAACCACCTTACGGTGTCAAGCAGGATCTGCCTCTTCGCTCGCCAGGTGTCAACAGCGGCTTCGGACACGGTCAACAGAATACGCCAGAATGGAGTCCCAGTCGCTACTTCGAGACCGGGTCGGGTCTTACTGGCCAGCACCTACCCCAGATTGATTCTATGCTAAACCAAATACCCACGTTACAACCTCTTCTTCCATATCAAATGTATGGCCATCCCTTCTGCGGGCCCATGGGCCCGCCCTTCCAGGCGCCGTTGAATCCGACTGTTTCCAACGACCAAGGACCATTTGGACCCTATTGGCACGACGGCACTTACATCCCATATCGGCCTGCTGCCATGCGGGATCCTCGTTTCCTACATCATCCGAGTCACAATTGGAGTCACCCGCATAGTAATGCCTTTATCAGTCACCCTTACAATGTCGTGCCCAACTATGCTCATTATCCGCAAAATCCTGTCCACCTGGATTATACCCAAGGCGCCTACAATCATCCAGCGAGGCCGTCAATAGACTTATCCCCCTATGCACAGCCTCAAAACCATGTCGCGTTAGACTATCAGAATCAATCGCTACCTCCCCCTCTCACACAGCGTCCTCAAGATTACCTACACTCTGGCCAGACGACGCCAGTCGCGGAGTATACCCCCATCATGCCGACCGACGAGTACGGGCCAGAGTCACCCAACGGGCAAAGTCGGGAAAAGGTGTTTGCTTGGGCTCACGCAGTATATGTGGACCTACTCAAGTACCTTCAATCAACACGTAAAGCCAGTTCGCAAAACGCTCATGGACGTACACACCATAGACCGCACATCTATCCTAAGCCGCCACGGCAGCCTGGACTCAGTCTGTCGAGTTCCTCCACCAACAGCGTTCCATCTCTGGAGCGACGTGTCTCATATCCTATTCCTACTCAGTATGCCTCTCACTCGAGGGCAGATTTCGGATCTAGGAGACCCGCAATGCCACACTCGCGCTCCCTGTCCGCGTGGTCCGTAGGCAGCTCGGATGCAAATGGCCAATCATGGCAAGGGTTACCACCGCAACACTCTATGCTGCCCCCAATGCCAGGCATGGATCCACCACGTACCTTGCGGCGGACCTCTGGCTCAGTTGCAAGCGCCCATCAGAATCTCCGCCAGGGCCTGCCTCCGAGTATGACCGCTGCCTCAGCGCTCGAAGCGATCACGAAGCATTGTGAAGAGAGTAAATGGAGCTGGATAGATGGCATACTTTTAGGGGGTTGTCTCGCGTATGCACTAGGTGACTATCAAAAGGCTCAGGACTGGTACAAACACATCCTTACCTTGGACAAAGAGTAAGCACCCCACTTTCTATCCCCGAGTCATACTAACGCGCATCAGTCATGTTGAAGCTATCTCGAACCTTGCAGCTACAATGCTTGCTCTTCAGCAGAAGCGTGAAGCCGAAAACTACTGGAGACGCGCAGTGAAACTTCGCCCCAGTTACTTCGAAGCTGTCGAGCACCTGATTGGATTACTCTGCAGTGACCACAAAGGTCGTGAAGCCGTTCAGGTCATCGAAGAAGTTGAACGCCATTTGAGATTTGCCAAAAGGGCCGACGCTCTTCGGAGCCTCGAAGTCGAGAGCGAACGTTCTGCCTCTGAAATAAGCGAGTCAAGTCTATCGGAAGCATCTGATCGGCCCGTGTTTGAGTTCGAGGGGGAGGACGAAGCCGTCTTCAAGGATCTAGACGAGCTCCCTGGCTCGGACCAGCCAGGCTTTGGTTCAAGCGGCTATGCCATTGCTGGTTGCGACAACGGTCGCGTTCTAGCTCTGGTGCATGCCAAGGGCAACATGTTGTACGCACTCGGCGACAACGCCGGTGCCGCCAGGGCTTTCGAGAACGCGGTCCTCATCGCATCTGGACCTCATCCCAATGGCATCGATGGCCTCATCAGGCGCATTCTTGGCGTCGTTGGATACAATGTAGCGGAACGCTCTCCAGGAGGTCGACGTATGCCCCCATCGTCTGATCCTATACTGCTACCGCCGGACGCAGCGACCAGAACGGCTTTGCTCTGCTTCGCGCCGCACGGCCAACTTCCGGGCCTGAAATACGTTCCTAGCGAAGGTCTCTCCAGGAAGGCGGCTATCTCGACTACAAGCAACTCTCTGCTTTCGTTAGCAAAGATTTTCCAGGACGGCATGGCAACCAACTCACCCAAGAATACCGTTTACCAAAGTAACTATGGTGTACGAGAGATTTTGGCTCTATACTACCTGTCGCTTTCCCTGCAGCCTAGCCCATCGACTGCAAACAATGTGGGCATTCTTCTCGCTAGCGTACAGCAATCTGCCCCTTCGAAAGCCAATCCAATGTCGCATGCTTTTGCCGGACCCCACATCCCTGGGCTGATGCCCGGTAGTGGAGTAGCTCTTGCGCTTGCGTACTACCATTACGGACTCCAGCTCGATTCATCCCATGCGCATCTCTATACAAACCTTGGAAGCCTCTTGAAAGATATCGGCCAACTAGATTCTGCTATAAACATGTATACACAGGCAGTCAAGTGTGATCCGAACTTCGACATTGCTCTCGCCAACCTCGCCAACGCCGTCAAAGACAAAGGCCGGATAGCCGATGCCATTTACTACTACAGAAAAGCAGTAAAGTCCAGTCCAGATTTTGCCGAAGCTGTCTGCGGGCTTGCTAATGCCCTTAACTCTGTTTGCAACTGGGCTGGCAGAGGTGGTATTGCCGAACACGGCGGATCAAGAGACCGCTGGCATGTCAACGACAGTGGCATGCTTCTAGACGCCAAGATACCCGGTGCGTCGAGCTCAGGCTGGATCCACAAAGTCGTGAAATTGGTCGAGAAACAGCTTGCAGATGGTGAGGATTGGGGCCGAGGCATGATGAATGAACAATTCATACAAGATGTCATTCGTCCTCTGGCTCTCACGGGAAGCACGCAAAATGTGAAAGAGAAAGAAGATAGCATGGTGTCAGTGTTGCAGCAATGGAAGGGTCAAAAGTGGGAGGGTGCTCGCATCGTACGACTCGTTGAGCGTGCTATACGATGGATGACTTGGCAATGGTACCAGGATCGCTACGTCACTGGAACACAGCGACCACCGGCCTCCTACAAGAGACCTCAATTGCCAGCAGCTTTGACGGTACCTGCGGCGCCTACTGTCCTACCGTTCCACACATTCACCTGCCCCATGTCGGCTAAACAGATACGTCTTATCTCGCAACGTAATGGCCTCCGCATTTCGACCTCGACGTTGAGAGTCCCTTGGTTACCTGCGACCGTCTACCAGCCTCCTGCGCCACCGAAACCATACTTGAGGGTCGGCTACGTATCATCGGATTTCAACAACCACCCGTTGGCCCACTTGATGCAGTCGGTATTCGGTTTCCACAATCCAGGTAGAGTGAAGGCATACTGTTATGCCACCACAGCGAGTGATGGATCAGAGCATCGCAAGCAGATTGAGAGGGAATCGCCTGTCTTCTACGATGCCAGCAGCTGGTCAGCGGAACGACTTGTTCACCAGATAACTCAAGATGGCATCCATGTTCTTGTCAACTTGAACGGCTACACAAGAGGTGCGCGGAATGAAGTCTTCGCTGCCCGTCCCGCCCCTATCCAGATGGCGTTCATGGGTTTCGCGGGTACTCTCGGCGCCGAGTGGTGTGACTATCTTCTTGCCGATGATACCGCTGTTCCTCCAGATACACTCCGACAATGGCGCCGTAACATTGACCTGGAAGACGCTCTTGTAGACGACAACAGCGGTGGTTCAGACGAAGAATGGATCTACGGAGAGAACATTGTCTTCTGCCGGGACACTTTCTTCTGCTGTGACCATCGACAAAGTGCTCCAGACTCGCAAGGACGACAGCCCAATTGGGAAGAAGAGCAACAGCGGAGGTGGGCTATGCGTAAAGAGATCTTTCCGAACCTCTCGGATAATGCGATCATCCTTGCAAACTTCAACCAGCTGTACAAAGTAAGTTGAATTGCGCCTCTTCCATGTGTTTGATCGCTTACTAACGTTATCATCAGATCGAGCCCACGACGTTCCGTACCTGGTTGCGCATTCTTGAAAAGGTTCCCAATGCCGTTCTCTGGCTCTTGCGTTTCCCCGATCTTGGCGAGACCAACCTCAAGCAGACGGCTCTTGCCTGGGCAGGTGCAGATGTGGCAAGCCGCATCATGTTCACCGATGTTGCACAGAAGCATCAGCACATTTCTAGGGCTCGTGTCTGCGATCTGTTCCTTGATACACCGGAGTGCAATGCACACACAACCGCCGCCGACGTCCTCTGGTCTGGAACACCACTACTGACGTTACCTCGCTACAAGTACAAGATGTGCTCTCGCATGGCAGCCTCAATCCTCAAGGGCGCGTTACCCAAGACACCAGCAGGTGCTCAAGCTGCGAAAGAGCTCATTGCGAGCAACGACGACGGCTACGAAGCCATGGCCGTACGTCTCGCACGCAACTGCACGTATAACGGCTACCGAGCGCAAGGTCGTTTAAGTGAGCTTCGCCGCATGCTTTACGAATCACGATGGTCAAGCCCGCTTTTCGACACCAGACGCTGGGTCAGAGACTTGGAAGATGCTTATGAGATAGCATGGAAGAAATGGGAGAAGGGAGAAGGTGGCGACATTTGGTTGCAACATGAACCATCTCCGCGCGCTTAGCGATCGACTTTTATCATTCATTTAGACCGCCGGCATAGCTGTTTTTGTTTGCGGCGAGCATCACACATATCTGGGTTAGACTCTGTCGGCATACGCCAAGGGACCCTTGGATTTAGCGAGCACTTACTTTCGTTGTTGTTGTTCTTCTTCTTCTTTGTTCCTATACCCCATATTGATTTGGATTGGATATTTACGGATGTTTAACTAGCTTATGTGGCAACCTTCATCATATGCGCGCGAAGTAGATAGCTTCTGTCGCTTTCTGGAACAGCATTTTCTTGGGCGTTGGATGACTTGCATGGCACCGTGACGGAGCTGAATACTATCCACCAGTTGTCTCCGTCTTCTTTATTCGCACTCGATCTGAACGTGTTCTGAACTTGGGTTTCATTAAGCAGCTCACAGATGTTTCTTTCGCCTGACAACAGAATGGGCACCATTAGAAGTACGATGCACTCCACTACGCACATGTACAAAGATGGTGCCATCTAATTATCCAAGTTCCAAGCAAACGACTCCGAGTACTGGCTGAGAAGTCATGAATATGCGTCATGTTGCGCTCAGGAGATGAAGCAGTAAGCTCGATCGGAGCACTAGCAAAGCTTAGCGCGATCGCATCTCCACAAATCCCTCCCCTTACACCTAACCTGCATCACGAAGCATTGCAACCAGCAACATCAATTCGCCATTGGACTGCCAACCCTCTACAATTATCTACACACGTATCCAACGCGCCATGGCCCCGCGCAAGAAGGCTACCACGGTCGCCAAGCCCAGTAGCAAACCTAGCAAATCCAGCAAATCCAGCATTGCACCTCCCGCAACACCTCTAACGCCAGCAATACCACCTGCACGCGCACACGATGCGTCGTACCACTACCCGCTTCTTTTGGACGGTCGATCAGGTTGCGACGCGTTGTTGAGTTGGTTCCATGGCGTTGCGGAGACGCGTAGTATGCCGTGGAGAAAGAAATGGATTGATCCGGACGAGTACGAAGACAAGGAAGAGCTGGGACGCGTTTTGTCGAAGAGGGCGTATGAGGTTTGGGTTTCGGAAGTTAGTGAGTATATCATTTTCTTTGTGGTGGAGTTTTTACATTGGACGCGTGAACGCGGTGTCACGTGCTCTGTTCGCGATCGCGTCTTCCACTGGAGGCTTGAGGAAACTTTGGCTGACAACCGCATAGTGCTTCAACAGACTCGCGTGTCGACAGTGATAGCGTATTTCAACAATTGGGTCGAAAAGTGGCCCACGGTTCAAGATCTTGCCGAAGCGAACCATGATGATGTTCTTTCCGTATGGAAGGGTCTGGGTTACTACTCACGTGCAACACGTCTTCATGAAGGTGCGAAGGCTATGATTGCCAAATCTGCTGGTGCTTCGTGCGCACTCCCCAGTGGTGCTACGGAGCTACAGGAATTTCCCGGCATTGGAAGATATACCGCAGGCGCGGTGTCTAGTATCGCATTCGGTGAAGCAGAGCCTGTCCTCGACGGGAACGTGGCGCGCGTGCTCAGTCGACAGCTGGGTTTGTACATGGACGTCAAAGACAAGAAGGCTACCGATGTTCTTTGGGATATGGCTGATCGACTAATCAAACACGCTTCTAACTTTCCGGAAATACGGACGAGTGAGGTGCCCGGGCTGTGGAATCAAGCGCTTATGGAGCTCGGATCCACTTTGTGTACGCCGCGACCCAGGTGTGACGAGTGTCCTATTCAGTCGACATGCAGAGCCTACAGCGAAGGAAAGGCGTTATCTGACAAGCGCCAGTCGGCGGTTGTAATACCTGACATCGAGGACGCATGCTCTCTGTGTGCGTCGTTAGATACCGAAGACTTGGTTGCAGTTTCTGAAGACGCAACGAACGACGAGCCGCCACGAGCGAACAAAAAGAGAAAAGCCACCACGAAACAAACAAACACTATCTCGCAGTACTTCGCTATTGGAACGCCAAAGTCAAATGTAGAAACGGAAGACGACGACGATGATCTTGATAGCCCACCTGTCGAGGATTCCAAGAAGCGGAAGCTGCCGGCGCCTACTGGAGAGTCGAAATCTATATCCACGTACTGCTCACTATTTCCGAAGAAAGTGGCGAAGAAGAAGGCAGCCGAAGAAGACTGTGTGGTATGCATGGTAGAGTTGCGCTCGAATGACGGCAGCAGTAAATGGCTGATAGAGCAGAGGCCCGCCAAAGGTAAGCTTTGCACTACGATACTAAAGCACTGCTGACGGTTGCGTGAAGGTCTCCTCGCATCACTGTGGTACGTAATAAACGCATGCTATCATGGCGCCACTGCTGGGTGGCTGCTCGGGTACTGCCTAACGCGCATTGCCGTCCAGCATCATATCATGTCTCATGATAGGCCCATTGCTCGGCTTTTCTTATCTAGTGCTGGGGCGTACGCTGACCGTGATACAGGCAATTTCCGCAGAACACGCTGACTGCATCACACAAGACGCCTCAGCAGCGCAAGACGTCGGCGCAGCAATACATCTCTGACCTCGATGCCGGCGCCGCTGACATGAGCAAAGCGCGTTATGTTGCCAGCTTTCCGCCATTGGTCCATGTGTTTAGCCATTTGAGGCTGACCATGCATACCCATCAGTACAGGATCGACGCCGATAAGGCCGGAGATATCGAGCTTACATGCAAGGGCCCGCCCACCCGCAAGTGGGTAGACAGCAAAGCCATGGACAACGAGACTTTGTCTACTGGAATGCGCAAGTGCTGGGACCTCGTTTCCGAAAGTCTTTGACAATGTCGTCGTGAGGCACTTGCGATGGGTGAGTTGAGACAGGTTCCACGTGCGCGGTACCCCACGTCCCGTTATCTTCCGCCAAGCGATACACATGGCTGGCTTCCGCTTTCCGCCTCCTTGGCCATCTCCACTCCTCCTTAGTGTCCTGGGGAAGTGGAACGATAAGGAACGTTGAATGGCTCTCACTATACCGATCACGGCGAAAAATTCCTTCCCATGGCAGTGGTTCTGCTAGCGGGGGTTTGGTTGGCTGGAAACGAGGCGTTGCATATCATGTTATCCTGGGAAAGAGATGGTGCGCTCGTGCAACCGAGACGTGCGTAGGGACGAGATCGCTGGATATAAACGTGGTAGATCCCCGAGGGTTCGGTACTGTGAATTGCTCCGAGTGTGCGACTTTTGGTGCTTTACCGTACAACATATTGTCAATATGGCGGCCATTCCAGCCCCGACACCCATCACAGAATGGCCGGACTACGCTGTCGATCCCAATGGAGGAGACGTCATGACAACTGATCTCAATGCGCTCTACGACAAGGGCGATCTGTGTTGGATGCTGGTCAGCACTGTACTATGTTGGTATGCAAGACTTCCACATCTGCTGGAATCGAAACATACTGATCGCGATCAGGCAAATCACACCCGCCATCGGCTTCCTCTACGCAGGCATGCATCGCCGAAAAGCAGCGCTGACCATGATCTTCCAATCTCTCTTCTGCGCCTGCGCAGTTGGCATCCAATTCTGGGTATACGGCTATTCTCTCTACCAGTCACATACAACCAACCCTTTCCTTGGAGATTTGTCAAAAGCAGGTCTACACAATACACTCGCCTCACCATCGCTTGCGAACGCCGACATCCCTGATATACTCTATGCTGCATTTGGGTTCACTTTCGTTACCTGCACCGCGATGATCTTGGCTGGGGCGATGCTTGAGCGAGGACGCTTATTTCCTTCGATGCTCTTTCTGCTTTGCTGGACTACGTTTGTATACTACGTGCTAGCACATGCGGAGTGGAATCCTAGTGGTTGGCTTTACAAGCTTGGTGTTCTCGACTTCGCTGGCTCTGGTCCTGTACACATCGCGTCTGGTTTCTCTGCCCTGGCTTGGGCCGTTATGCTGGGGCCGCGCGTTGATCCGCATAAAGAGTCGCATCACCCTAGGATACCGCACTTTAAGCCTCACAGCCCTTTCCTTGTTGGACTTGGCACGATATTGATCTGGTTTGGATGGTTTGCTTTCAATGGTGAGTGAAGGCTGTGTGTCGAGAAGTTGAGACAGTGTACTGACAGTCTGTAGGCGCCTCGACTGCCAACCTCTCCCTTCGCTCCATCTACATCGTCTGCAACACCAACCTCGCCGCCTCTGGTGGCGGAATAGCCTGGGTCCTTCTGGAGTACATGTTTACGCGCAGATTCTCGATCATCGGCTTTTGTTCTGGAATCATCTCCGGTCTCGTTGGTATCACACCAGCCTGTGGATTTGTGCCTGTGCAAACCGCAGCCCTGATCGGAGCCCTCACCTCCTGCGCATCCTTCTTCACAGTCCGCTACAAATACCTCCTCGGCATCGACGAGGGCCTCGACATCTTCGCCATCCACGGCGTCGGCGGTTACGTCGGCGACATCATGACCGGTTTCTTCGCCGCACCCTACGTACCCGCCATGGACGGCGTAAGCAACACCTACGAAGGCGGCTGGTGGGCCAAAAACTGGAAACAGATGGGTTACCAGCTAGCTGCTGCGACTACATGCGCCGCATGGTCTTTTGTCGTCTCGGTCATCTTACTCTTCATCATCAACAGGATTCCTGGTTGCCATATCCGCGCGACTGAGGATGATGAGCTGAGGGGTTTGGATTACAAGTATTTCAGCGATGCTGATGGGGATATGGAGGTCCTGACTGGATATGGCCCTACGACTCCGGGTCGAGCGGCATCGCAGGTTGCGAGCGGGTCTGAGAGCCATCAGGATGTGCCTGTTGCAACGGAGAAACGGGATTGAGTCGAGCGCGCCTGGCGGTGCTGTTCTGCGCCGCTCGGATGGTTCGGCAACACATCGATGTTTCCTCATGTCTTCCCTGTTCTCCGATTGTACGTTCCGCGATTGGGTACGGCTCTGTAGACTCGTCTTCTTTTCTTCATGTATATTTCAGGTCTTGTTGTTGTCTTTCTGCTTCTTGTTCTGCAATTGAGATACCATTATTTACCCGCTTACCATCTTACCGTTCCTGTCCCGTTCCAACCCCAACTCGGGTATCGCCATCTCGCTTCCTTCATGTCTAATCCAATCGCTTGGCTGACGTTCATATAGTGGCCTCATCTGTGAACCAGCCTAACGCATCAGGTGCCGATATATCCAACACCGCGTTCGCCTCATTTGTCGCTGCGCCTTCGAACCACATAAACACCGAGTGCCCAGCCCAAGCCCAGCAATCTGAACGTATTGAGGATGATGACAATCACGGCAATGGCCATCAACTTCCTCGTCGCAGCGTTTACGAACCCACCCAATCCACTTATCACCCCACATGCGGAGCTCGCAGCCCAGCAGACATCATCCGGAAGTGATCCGGCGCTAGTCGGTTGGATCGACGCGACGGATGGACAGTGTAAGCTTCGCCTCGTCCTTCAGCAGATCCACAACTTCCTCATCTAGTAACCCGATTCCACTAACCCAACTACAACGCAGTCTTCGACCTCCGCTCCTGTGACTACACAGCCACCTTCTCAAACTCTCACACCTTGGCTCAATGCTGTGCACCCGACTCAGACTGCACATTCTGGTTATCATGTGGCTCTCCAGTCCTTTTGGCTGGACCAACGAGTGTGTTCTATGGTAAGAAGTACGGCGGTTGTGGTGCCGACTGTGGGTGCGAGTGAGGTGTAAGCTTTCTGGGTTGTTGGGCGACGAGTTTGGGGAGGGAGACTTTCACTGTGGTGAGGGATGTTAGGTATAGTATGTACACTGAGTTTTGTCTGGTTCATGTGATGTAACGCTGATGTGTTGGTAGCTGATGTCACGCAAAGTGTAAAGCATATTTTGGAGAGGTAATAGGATCGAGATTGATTACATCGCTACTACATGATAGACTCTATTCGACACACACACAAAAGCTTGTTCAAAGAGTGGATGAGAGTTTAACATCTGCTTGAGAACAAGAGAGTTGATCTTTTAACCATTTCTCATCACTTCCAATACTGCCGCGAGTTAGTCAGCCCTACTTTAGCGCTTATATTTTGGAAGCTTACTATCGTGTACATCTCTCTAGGCCTTGTAGTACGAAGCAATCGCATTGGCACTAGCCCCGTTGAAATTGTAGCACCTTCCCTGGGCGTAATCGAACGTCGTAGAGTCTACGTAGCCCGATCCGATGGCTCCGGAAGGGTTGCCGCAGCTGTCGGGCGCGAAGAAGTATGCGAATTGGTGGTTTCCTCCCCAGGTCGTGATCCTGAAGGATCCAAAGCCTTGTGGCCAGGCTGCACAGGTGTCGTCCCAAATGTTGACAGTTTGCTGGACATTGCCGCCGCAGTTGCGATCACCGAAGGTATCGATGACGAAGGCGGTTCCACTGGCAGCGAGGGCGGCCATGACGGCGGTGGTGGAGGCGATGGAGAAACGCATTTTGGATGAGAGTGGAGGTTTGCGGAGTGAGAAGGTAGTCTTGAAGATGGTAGATGCGGTTGAAGGAACTGTTCGAGTTGGTGGACGATACAAGATTACCAGCGGAAGAAGGTATTATATATTCCAACCGCTGAACTTTCTTTCAGCTTCACTTTGATTACTCGGTGTGACACTGCCTTCTTGCTTTCGTGGTCTTCGCGACCGGTGAGGTAGTATTGGCTAGGGTCGACGGTCTGAGGTTGTCCATGCTTCACCGACTCTCTCTCTTCAGTTGATACACGCTCATCTTCGACCTCATTTAGATGGTTTGCGAGCCAGGATGTGCTCAACCACCCGTTTCAAGTCGCTGTGTGCACCCATATAGGCAGGCTGTAGCGATTTTGGCCCCCTCAGCTCGGTTCTGATGGTTTTCTTTGACCAATACTTCCATGCGGAGTGAAGATGACCTTGGTATCACCGACAACGAGGATGATCTTGGGTATACGCCTACGTTGTTGTAAGACCAAGCTAACAGCAGAATAAAGTTCGGGGCGGAATGGGCGAACAGCAAAATAAGGTTCGAGACGAAATGGGCAGTGGTGGAATGTACGCGTAGAGGGCCGCGCCATGCAATGAGTTCACTGTTTAAGAGGTCATCAGGCTACCTAGGTACTTCTGAGGGCTGTACGCCCTTACTCACCGCCCAAACGAGGGTAGAGGAGGAATTACTACCAACTGCCTAAGTAATTAAGGACGAGATGGTGTTAGAGGCTACAACAGAGCACAGACACAATCCTAAGACCGTTTGAACACCATATCACGCTTTTAACATCGTGCTTACACCGTCTCATCCTTGATTGGTTGGTAGCACTTTCTACTCGACCCTATATGGCGCGCTACGGTACTCCGGTGTACGACCTGGGGTAGCTGATTGACAGCAATGCCACTGTTGAGATGAGTGATTTCGTTGCGCAAGTGGTAGCTGCGGGTTTCCAAGCTCTTGCAGCCTGAGGACAGCGAAAGCCTGAAAAAATACCTAGGGATTTTGAGCAACACCACCATTCTGCACTACAACGTTGCAAATAAATTTTAGGAAGAAACACTGTATATACTCTGCAAAGCTGCGAGTAAAATGGTCTTCTTATGTTTTTCTTTAGAGGCGTTGCAGTCGATGTAGAAGACGGCCTACCAGCTTATGTCCGGCTTTCGCTGTCTCGCTAGAGCCAAGGTTCCTCAAGTGTCCAAGAAGCCAAGAAGCCTCTCGGCCGACAGGCACGTGACGCCGAGTGAGCCCCTCCAGTCTCCTACATCACTGATAACCACGATACCGCGACACGGGCGGCACATCGGCCATGAAAATCACTTTCGCTCCGCAGAACCTCGCATCGCGGCC